TAAACATGCGATTACGCCCAGAGTAGGACTGCTGGTATAAGAAGTTGACGACGCCGATATATTAGTGTTCCCTACTGAGATCCAGTGAGGACGGTCGTGCACGCTGTCCTACATACACGTAAAACTCGTCCCGAGTACTCTGTGCAGTACTCTATACCTATGTAGAAATGGAGTACCAACACGAAGACGGAACAGACACTGGGATCGGATCAAGTAGACCAGAGAGGCTTGACATTGCCCCTACCTCTGCATCACTAAGGAAGGGGTAAGGAGTAATGAATCGTCGGGTGCCGCCTCGGCCACGATTTGTAGGGCGCACAGCATGAGTAGAGGCACCAAATGAATCGATGGGTTTGCCATGGCGAGGGCTTCGATTCGACGGGCACTTCCTCAGCTGATCAAACGTTTTCTGTCTGTATCCCCGGTGGAGTATTTGACCGCGCCGACGAGCATATTCGCACGCTTTGTCGTTGAGCTCTGTGAGGTAAAAGTGGCCCATCTTTCTTCTGGACCTTGAAGACTCGATATGCGCTTCGGAGAGGATCGGCAGTCTAGATCATGAAGCGTTATGCGATTCCTCCTGCGCCCTCACAGGTCGAATACGAAGCACTATACCTCTTCCAACCTTATATGTCGGACATGAAGCGCTATACCTCTTCCGACCTCACAGGTGTCGAACCATTTGACCTGTGAGGTCGGAAGAGGAATAGCGCTCGTTTATACATTCACATCTTTGGTTGCCAGCGGTTTGGTGGTCAAGGGCAGCTTGTCCAAAGGAGCACATGTGGGCCAAAATAAACGGTTTGACTAATTTCGAGTCTTTGTGTAGAAATTCAAAGACAAACGTCCCGTGTCTGCGGTTGAATTACCGCAAAGTCTACGTAGGAATGTCTTTACACATTGCCATCCCGCCCCCTCCTCCCCCGGAAGATTTTCGTGAGGTTTGGATCGATTAAAGCCCCACCGCACAACACTAAACAAGTACACTCCAAGTCGTCGCGGTTGCGGAAAACACACAATGGCTTCCGGTTAAAGTCGACGGTTCCATTCCTTCTCACCGACCGGGGGATAGTAGTAATAACTGCTCTCCTTTCCTGGTTCGAGCGCAGCGAAGAGGCGCGTCAGGACGGTCTCTAGCATTGACCAAAATAAGTTTTCCACAAAATGACAAGCAAAAGGCACAAGTAAGCTGCAAAGTAAAGGGTGACGGGGCACACCTGGAGATGACATCTCACAAAGAGGACTTGTCCTCCGTCGTTGTGATGAATATTGCTCACTAAGAAGGAGTAAGTAAACGTTCATGTTTCTCTTCTCAAATTCTGGCGAGAGAGCACACACTGAAGTGAATGGTACAGACACCAATACCAGAGAAAGCCACTCTGGCAAAGTATATCGCTGAGAAAAGAATCACCAGCACAGACGCGAAGATGGATATGGAGATGGGTGTAGGTTTGTACATATTTGTCCTTCCTGGCACCGATCGTAGATATATTTGACTCCCTCTATTTGAGAAGGCTGTGTGGTCTTCTGGCTCTTATATAGCCCCCGAGGACTTTTTCCTTGTTATCGCCCTTCCTCGTGTTCTCCAGAAACATCCCTTCTAGAGCCTTGGTTAGCTTCCTTTAAAGGACATGCAGTAGCTCAACACAAGTAAATGACGTCTGAAGCATTAGTATCCAACCTTGCGGGAATAGGGCGACTATTATCGCTGGCTGGGCCCTGTTCATGACCAGACCAATTCTCCTTCGTTGTCGACTTGGGTATCGATTCTGCACATGGAGAGAGGGCGACGGCCAATTTCTCATCGAAGGGATTCGACTCTTCCCGAGTCCCAACCCTGCAGTCCATGAATCCGTGAAGCTGTTCCTCGATGTCCCTGTACTAAGCTGTGCCAATCTAGTCATGCGTTATACATCTTGGTCTTCAAAAGCATCGCCTCGTGTCCAATGAGCTCCTTGTTCATTCTTTAGCGACAGTTCCGGACACATCTAGGATGCATATCCGCAATGTTGTTAGACACTAGGATACATCCCCAACGAATTGCGTCTTTAAAGGGTTCTCCCACGTAACACTGAAGTATATGACAGTAGAGACTTGGCTAAAAACGTAATACCAGGGGAAGAGGACTCTGGTGGTTCGACCAAAGTAAAGCGGGGATTAATCTTCTGAGCCTTCGATTGGATAGAAGTACTGTGCTTGCTTTTGATAGTACATGTCAGTTGCTGTGTCCGAGACGGTGTACCTGGAAGCGAGACAAGCTGTTGACCCGAGTCTAATGCGTCTGAGAGAGCAGGGGGGCAGATAGCAGCAGCAGCAGCGCATTCATAGCTCTCGCAGCGATTGGAAGAGTGTTGAGAGGTCATGCAGGGTCCTTGCGAAATGCAGCCTCACCACGGTTCAGTCTTTTTGTGCGCTATTCCTCTTGCGACCTGTGAGGTCGACGTAAGAGGAATAGCGCGAGTCTCACGTGAATCCTTGATGGATGTGCGTATGACTCCGCCGCGGGAATGTTTGCTGCGATCGAACTCGGCATCCTTGACCTTACCTGCAGGACACGATCGGCTGCGTGACTCGACCCGACTAGGATTTCGAAGGGCAGGGAATTTCAGCATGTGATATGTGGAAGGGTGGCTCAAACTCGGCCGGGCAAGGACAGGGGAAAAGGGAAAGGGGGCCAAGTGGAAGTGGGAGGGATGAAGACGAAACGCGATTTAGCAGAGCCGTTTGAGGGGATGCGAATGTCACGGGATCCCTGACTCGAGGAGATCCATCTCCCACTCTGTCTGCAGTCACGATCTTCTTCTCCAACGTCTCTCAAAATGATCGATTCACTTACCCCGAGACTCGCATCTTCGAGTGCTTCACATCGCAATAATCCAACTTGGTGGATTCCGTCCTTTTGAACCATTTTTCTGAGGATACCAACCATCAGCCTCTCGGCTGCTCGCCGACGAGCCCAATTACCCTCCAGACCTCGAAATTGCCGAGACTTTGGTCGCCGCGCCATTACTCTCCCTGATCAGAGTGTGATGTAGAAGTGGTGGATCTCACTCCGACAATGACAGTGTAGGTTGGCCTTTGGGCCTCGTGGCTGTTACGCCCCGGGGCTGGATCTGACTAGGACGTACAGGAGCAACCCTCCCGACCTCTCGGACACCCTTTTCAAGGACTCAGCCTCCTGCCATGCCGATATGACCCTTACCCTTTTCCACCACTTTCGAAAGGTGCCCCGCTCTTCTTCTGCTACCTTGTATACCGCCTGGCCTCTCCTTTTCCTGCGGATCCTTCCAAGATACCATGTTCTTCAACCCAGTTTCTGCTCCTTTGAGCCTCCATTTGACGGACTTCCGCTGCACACGATCCCTTATGCCGGAATTGGCTTTGCATTACTGATGAACACGACTAGCACCGCAGCATACGCAGCGGTTGCAGCAAGCAAACTCTCAGGCTCTGCTGCAGAAAATAATGCAACTACTACCGAAAACGCAAAGATCGAGATCGATACCACTGCGAGCGCTTTCGCAGATACCGTACCAACAACAATAATCAGGACCGGTGTCACAATTACCAGACCTCCTATAATTGCAAATATGAATCTCCGCTGTGCTCTCTTGATCCCTTCACGGCGCTGCCGTGCCAGCTCTGATTGCTGTCGTTCTGTGCCACGTGTCTTGCCCCGAGCTGTCCCGTGCTCCATCAAAGAGTGGTCGAAGGAACCGAGGAGGTCGTCATCCGAGTATAAGGTATGTTGCGGCGCAGGTAAAGCAAGGCCGAATTCCGATATTAATGCTGCTTGCATTCTCGAGCCCGGACCATTGTCAACGCGCGAAGCAGCGATGTTCTTTACAAAGTAAGTATTCCACCGGTTGGAATGGATAAATTCAAAGTTGCGAAGAGTGTTGGCTAGACACAACATTGGTAAGTGTTCCATGCGTCAAGCCATTACAAGGCCGTTGATGGTGAATTACTGTATTGTCCCAATAGTATCCCGATCCTGTCTAGCTGTTCGTCTGTCATGTTGCTTCGGAAAAAGGTACTGATCTCCTGCAGTAATTGTCGTTGCTGGTGGTGGATGCTGACAGCGTACAGTGGTCTGAAGTCAATCACTGTCGTGTTCTTGACCCAGTGTCGCACCGCGCCACGGGCAAATCTAGTCAAGCGTTCGTGGTACTCCAGTGAAGCTAGGCCATTGAGCTCGATGTCCTGCTCTGCGCCCACACTCTTGACACGCTCCGCATTGCCTTGTTTCCGGGTTTGTGAAAATAGAGACTCTGCCATGTCTAGGAATTCTCCTCTTACACAAAATACATCCAACTACAGAGACGAGTCCAGTTTATCAGAATGTATTTTATTCTTGTGTGGCGGAATCTGCCTGTTGAAGACGTGTCTTTGGAGCATGGGCGCATCAACATCGGACGTGGCAGTGCCAGCATCGAGCGCCAATCAGTGTGAAACATGTCTGTCACCTTTCATGCCCGATATGAGGTTCGAGGGCTAGTGGACGGCTGAGCATGCACTACATCTGCACATTGCCCGAACAAGCTGAATCACATGGCTGTTCTCTAGCCGGGCCTTATTCACCAGGTATGTCGAAATACCAGTCCCCCAGACCGGTTCATCATTGTTGAATCTCTATTGGACGTTATTCCACGGAACTTTTGGGGGCCTGCGGGAATCCAAGCAGGCGCCGAGTGGCGTTCACCAGAATCACGCTTCTGTCTCTTACTTCACAAAGCAACCAATGAGGCATCCAACTCATACACCCTGAAATGTCTTGGCCGAACGTTCTAGCCAGCACCCCATGGCAGAGCCGCATGGGCAGGGTTTGTAAATGATGTCGCGTTCCTCTTTTGACATATTACTTGTCGAAATATTTGCTTAGTGAAGACCGAAACCAAAAGTTGATAAGGCCGCCGAAGGCGTAAAATCCCCTCCTTCTGTCAGATTTCTCTTTATTCTGCCAACAGCACGCTTTCCAGTCCTTCTGTAGGCACTCCAGCATGACCGCACGCGTTGTTTGGCCTGTTACGTGGCCCGACGATTCAGACGAGAGTTTGAAGGACAGGTTGAGAGACGAACGAAAGGAAAGCTGTATAGACAAAAAGAAGTTCGTGCCGGAGAGTTGCCTCGATACTCACCTCACAAAGGAAAATATCGAAGCAGAGCTGGAAAGAAAAGATATAGTCGTGACGACTGAACTCGTGGACTTCATTCAAACCAAAGCTAAGAAGCTCTTTGCGATACTAGTCTACTCCGAGATTCTCGAGGCTATCATCGGATGCTACGAACATCAGCTCATGGATGATCATCTTCCCTTGCTATTACGGAAGGTTGATAATCGCTACGAAATTTCTAGCTTGTCCGAAAACGAACCCTCTGACGTTTCATTTCAAGTTGCATCGGATGTCTTCCGTATCGGCAGCAAGGATGGCACGTGGAAATGGAATCGGGGCCGCTTACATGATTTTGCCGAGAACCAGTGGCAGTTCATGGCACCTGTTTTCAAGAAGGAGAGATATCGGTACAAGCTCGACGGGCAGCACATACTCCCCTTTGTGTCTGTGGGAAAGGAGAAGGGTGGCGGGTTCAGCAAGGTTTACCGTGTTACCATCCATCATGCGCATCAACAAGGATATTCAAGTGTATGGTCCTCTTCCGATGTTCTGATATAGCCATCAAAGCTAACTCGGCAATGAGCAGTCAACCGTGGCATTCAAGCAGTTAGATCGTCAGTCTCAACACGCTGGCCAGGAGCGGCTTGAGAAGATGCAGCAAGAAGAGGGCGACATCTTGGAAATAATCAGGGAGCTCGACCCTCAAGACCCGCATCTCATTGAAGTGTTCGCCGTGATTGAGCGAGGGAGGGAGATATGCTTTATCTTTCCCTGGGCCAACGGTGGGAACCTCCGCGAGGTATGGGAACAAGAGAATCCAGAAACCAACAATCTCGATTGGATCAATTGGGCCATCGATCAGCTTTTGGGCCTATCGGTAGCAATATCCAGACTACATCATCTCGGTCTCGAGAAGAGAAATTGTCGACATGGCGACCTGAAACCAGAGAATATTCTTCACTTTAAAGGCGAGAAGGAAATAAGAGGAAAGCTGGTAATCGCCGATGTTGGTTTGGCCAGAGTCCACACCAACCCGACCTACGACAGGGCCGGCCGCAATATTTTGACAATAGCCATGTCTGGTACGCAAAGATATGAGCCTCCCGACTTGCTTGATCCAGTCCCCCGATCCCGAGTGTACGACATCTGGTCCTTGGGATGCATTTGTTTGGAATTCATTATATGGCTTCTCTACGGTAAAGGTGGTCTCCGAAGATTCAACGAGGCATTCACTCAGCGGAAGTTCTGGACGGCGCCACAGAATGCAACCAGATCCGTGGATGCGACGCTTGAAGGCGAAGTCTTTAAGTGGATGAATTGGATGCAAGCGACGGATCCTCGGGTCGCAAAAGATACAGCTCTTGGAGACCTCTTGGACCTTGTCCGAGATCGGCTGCTCGTGATCAAAGTCGAACGGGGGGGCAACGCTGTCCCGTCCAATGACTGTCGCGCTCGGTCAGAAGAGGTCTGTCAAATTCTGGCCAACATCCGAAAGAAAGCGAAAAAGGATGCCCCGTACCTGACCAAATGTGCCGAGAAACCAGACCCTTCTCCGCACGGGCCAGGTGGGCCAGACTCTGATTCTAATACCCAGCACAGGGCACCACGTCCAAGGTTCGGCGTTCAAAATCTACCCGTACCAGGTCACGTCTCTGCCCTCGCAGATGGGAATCAAAATCAGCCACGAGAGGGTGAAGGTGACCAGGTCGATGGATCATTCAACGAAATCCATATCGGAATCACAGTAAGGGAGCTAACTGTATATGGAGCAACGTCATGTTGCACGACGCTAATCACAACCTTGAATAGACTCAAGTACCTTCCTTCGACCCACCGATCAGCGGTTCTAACCCCACAGAGGATACAACTGTACATACATCTTTTCCTTGTCCAAAGTCAGCAATTAACGGTGCTAATTGCGGCCTCTATAGGTTTCTACGGATTCTCTCCTCGCTTCGCCCCTCATCAATTCTCACCATGAGAACCGAGCAACTGTACGTACATCTTCTCTTGCTCTCGCAAATAGACTGAGATTTTGACCAAGTTCACAGCAAGTGAGATAATTCTTCGCGACTTGAGCCGAACTCCACTGGAATTGTCTGATTCAATCTATAGGAGGTATTTGCCGCCAAAGACGATTCGGACACCCCAATGACTGATGCTGATGAATAGCAGTATGTGAGTATACCTTACTCCTTTGCTAGTCAGTCTTGAATAAGAAAGCTGCTAACAAATGTGCTGAACATTAGAATGTTAGCATGATCCTCTCTGCAGTTCCATCTCATACCAGCTGACTTACTGCGTATAGCATGTGAGTCAACAAGGACAACATCGAACAAGTGGTACTAGATAACCAATAGCTAACTCGGCCCTTGTTGCCTTTAGCCAGTAAGTTAATGTATATATTTGCCAACACTTCGACATAATGCTAATGACAATGATCTACTCTTCTAGCCGGTACGATCTCTTATCTTACCTTTGGGGCTACCATTCATGTTGAGATGCTGATTGTTCCAGCTGACGGATAACTGGGAGGCTGTCCTGAGCAATGATTTCGCGAGGAATGTTTATCATCAAATCCGCTGGCAAGATGTGCTCCCAGGAGAGAGCGAACGTCTGGAACTTTGCGAACGGTGTCGGAAAATGGATATCTGGAGAGCAGGGTTCTCGACAAGCGATACTATTGCTGACTTGGAGAAGAAGGCTCACCATTGTAGACTTTGTAGGCTCTTTTACCAATGCGTCGGATTCTTGGATAGGTCAAGCGGAAAGCCCATTCACTTCTACAGATATGGCTCGGCGTTTCATCTCGAAAGCCACGCCCCTCCCGTTCTCTCCATCTGCACCAGCCCAGGTATGAGCCCAATCACCCCAATCGCTAATTATCATGGTTTCTCACCACCAGTAGCGTCTCGAAATCTACCTAGCTCCCTCCAGATTGGGTTTCCAAAGCTTCCAAAGGCAGGGGGTCCAACGGAGATCGCGCTGTGCCGAGAGTGGCTCCGAGTATGCGACGATCCGAAACTGCACAGCTGCCACCCTACCCTCGAAGGACAGCTACCGACGAGAGTGCTCGAAGTGTTGAGCCATGACAGCCCTGGAGTGCGGCTACATATATCAAAGTCAGGCGAGAAAGGTAGATATTTTGCCCTTTCTCACCGCTGGGGCGATCCGTTGGAACATCGGCGATTCTGCACGCTTCGGACAAACTACAAGGAATTTGTGGACGGGATCAGCTTTGAAAGACTCCCAAAAACCTTTCAAGATGCTGTAACAGTCACGCGAAGCCTCGGAGTCCCTTTTCTGTGGATCGACTCTCTCTGCATTTTGCAAGATGACCCAGAGGACTGGGAGACGGAGTCCAATCAGATGGAAGATGTCTACAACTTGGCCTACTGCACTCTTTCGGCTGCTTGTGCTCGGGGAACAACACACGGCTTCCTTCAACCGAGGGCCCCGAGAGACGTTGTCACGCTCAAAGACAGCACCGGAGATGTCTATTATATTTGCAAGGCCATTGACAACTTCGGCGCTGACGTCGAGGAGGGAGAACTGAGTCGACGTGGATGGATTCTGCAGGAGCGTGCAATGTCCCGGCGCACCATCCACTTCACTGACACCCAAGTGTATTGGGAATGCGGAGATGGGGTTCACTGTGAAACACTCATCAAAATGCGCAAGTATGTCCAAATCTTGATCCCCCTTTCTCCTATTGAGAGGACACCGAGGAGTCGTATCCTAACTTGTGCATCCAGCCCGAAGTCGGCGATCTTGGGTGACTCGGAGTTCCCAAAGGCCGCCGAACGCCTCGTCAAGGGCGGGAGGATCGAGCTTTTCCAATTCATCTACAAACGGTACTCGAGGCTCGCTTTCACAAACAAGGAAGACCGGTCCATCGCCATCTGCGGCCTCGAAAACCGGCTGATTCGGACATTCGACACGCGTGGCGCGTACGGCGTCTTTGACACGTTTCTGAATCGAAGCGTCCTGTGGCGACGAGGTGGGGAGAAGATGAACCGCATCACCTACCCTGCACGGAGAAGTGTCCCCTCCTGGTCCTGGATGGCATACGACGGATGGATCACCTACGTCGAGGTCCCCTTTGGCCAAGTCGACTGGGCTTCGAGCCTGAGATTTCCGCCATCTCCGCAAGATCAACCAGGCGGCGCTGACGACGACAACGACAGAATGCCTCTCTGCGAGCTCGTTGCGACCGCAACAGACTTCTCGCAGGCATCCCCCGCGCGTCCGATGGACAATGTGACCTTTGACATTCCGGGCACAAAGCACCTTCCGGAGTTCAAGTGTGTTGTCGTGGGGAGTGACAAGCCTCGGGCCGCCCGTGCCACACAGAAGTATTACATTCTCGTCGTTGCTCCGGCTTCATCGGGAGCGGAGCCAGGCGTGTATGAGCGAGTAGGTGCTGGCATTGTCGAGAAAGATCATCTAGACCTCCAGCGGCAGGAGGACGAGATTCGCATTCGGTAGATAATTCCAGCCTACCATAGTTTGGGGTCAGGTTTGGATCCAAGGCAATTTCACTCGTACAGAATCGGAGATTCGAGAACGATATTATTATCAAATGACGCTCATTCACACACACTCCCGAGTTACGGACGCATCTTGCCACGAATTTAAACTTGTTCCCCCCTAGATCACCGTCAAAAATCTATCTGAAAGTGACCACGTTTTAGCCTCCCGAGAGCAAGCTGTGGTTTCTGATAACTCAGCGGACCTACCTATATTACAGAGCTAACTCGTCTTGGCACCCGCTTGGGACAGCGGCCTGCCGCATGGATACTCGGGAATCGTATGTATGTACGAGGGTATGACCTTGGCACAACTTTGGCTCAGCCTCGCCGTGAGCGACTTACTACTACCCAGCCTGCTCAGCCGCTCAGGCCGCCGCTCACTCCTCACCCTTCTTAACCTTCTCATCCGCCGCACTTGGTCTCGTTTCTGGGAGCCCCGCCGTTATTAGTTATCAGATCCTCACAACGCCCAGCCGGGCGAGCAAATGGGTGAAGCGTCAGCGAAGGAAAGGTAATGGATCGTCTCCAGTGGGGAGCAGGGCGGGTGGAGCCAGATCTGGTTCCGGTTCCGGAACCGGAACCCAGTCCCCCATATGCCCCTGAGAAGCAGCGTGAACAGGGGAGGGTTCGTTGGCAAAAGCCAGGAGGCACGGCAATGGCAAGCATCTGAAGTAGGAGGCTTCATTGAATAGCGGTTCGGAGAGGAACGCCCACTACTTGGAGTACATAGATGTCAATCCACACAGCGGACAACCGTCCCTCGTGTTGATGAAGCCGCATTCGATGGGGTCGCATGAGACTGGGAACTATTAGAATCTAGACGTGGAAAGTAACTTTGCCCCACTCAGCGGAATGGGGCTGACCAATCCCTACAGGCCTTGTCTTTGCCTTGGATTTCTATCTTTCTCGGCATTGACGACCTGCAGTAGCACAGCGGGGGGGTCTGTTTAAACGCCTTTGTGACTTCAAATCCCATGGTCGTTTCTTTCCTCGGGTCATACTGTACCACAGCCGCGCCGACCTCTGGAGCCCCAATGACGACTTCTCCCATCCGGACATCTTGCTCCTCCCTTCCCCAATGGGATCGCGCGGATTGAAGAAGGAATGACAGTCTCTGCTTCTGCACAACTGCCAGTGCCAGTGCGCTGTTTATATGTATATCTAAGTACCATGCTTCACATATTCCTCGATAGAGGCCTCAAGGGGTTCACCTCGGGTAGTAGTTGTGTTTGGCGCTAGACGTTTAGACTTGGTGTCATCAACCGCACAAGAGACCGTATCCATCTCTCATATTTTGAGTTCTGCAGTGGGTAGATCCAAAATACACACCGAGTACGAGGTATTGGTAGGCAGAGCTCCCCACTCTGCTTTGTCTTCGTGAATGGTGCCGCCCTCCGCTCCGCGCCAAAAAGTCCAAGAGGCACATATAGAGTACATGCCGACGGCGATAGGGATATGACAAACTCTCTTTCAATATCTTTGTTTGCTGGGCGACTCGCTTGCTCACTCGTTCACTCAATTCCTCACTGTCAATCTGATTGACTGATGGATGGATCGGGCCGGTCCGAGCTCTGCCGAGAACACCGAGACAAATGTGAGACTTCCTGTACCTGCCCAAAATGTTGGTGCCTGATCCAGGGGTAATGACTCACCCAACGAATCACATAAAGTGCCCATATCAACCCTCTCCTCCCGATCTCCAGGGCCAAGATTGTCAGAGTGTAAGGTCTAGGGTATACAAAGCCTCCCAGCTGAGGTTGAATCTTTTGCGGCGGCAACAAATAACGTCCTGATAACCAAGTTTCTCGAGTCTCCACTCTCCACTTTCCGCTCCTACAAACCAGACCATCTGTGTCAGTGAAAGTGGTCACAATGGCATCTACCACGCCTCAGCAGTCGACTACCCGGGATCCGACCTTCCGCAACTACGATCCCTCGTCGGCAGCGAAATACCTCAAGCACCGGCCCCGGTACGCAGACGCGCTGATCGACCTGGTCATCTCGAAACACACTTCTTCCGGCGGGCAGTTGGACCTAGTGCTCGACGTCGGGTGTGGACCGGGCATCGCGACCCTGTCCCTGGCCCCGCACTTTCAACATGCCATCGGCGCGGATCCCGGTCAGAACATGATCGAGACGGCAAAGACGGTGCCTTCTACTACCAAATCGGGCGAGCCCATCACGTACGAGGTCTGCCCGGCCGAGGCCTTGAGCACGTTGTCCGCTCTCAAAGCCTTTTCAGGCAGCACCGACGGTCGAGAGTGCGTGGACCTCATCACGGCCGCGACCGCCGCGCATTGGTTCGACATGCCTCGCTTCTGGGGCGAGGCGGCCAAGATCCTCAAGCCGGGCGGCAGCGTTATAATCTGGTGCTCCGGAGGGCACCGCTGTGACCCGAACAACACGCCCAATGCCGAGAAGCTCCAGGAGTGGTTCAAAGTCTTTGAAGAGGAGGTGCTGGCCCCTTACGAGCAGCCCGGCAATAAATTGGCGCGGGAGTTGTACATCAATCTCGGACTACCCTGGGAATGCCTCGACCGGATCGACGGCGCGGACCAAGAACTAAAGACCCTGCTGAAGGAGTTTGACGAGACCCGGTTTGAGAGGATCGAGTCGGACCGCGACGGCCGCATCGCCTCCGACGGGACTGCCTTCTCCGAGTATCGCAAGGTGGATTTCGCAACCATCAAAGCCATGCTGGGCACGGCGAGTCCCATCACGCGCTGGAGAGAGGCCCATAAGGAGAAATTGGAAAAGGGAGAAGTGGAGGACGTGATGGATATGATGATCAGGAAAATGAAGGAGATCCTCGAGGAAGTGCCAGAGGGCAAGGGGCGGGACTACATCGATGGTGGGAGCGGGATGGTCATCTTGGTCGTGAAGAAAAAGAAGTAGACGTGAGGTTCTCTTTCCGAGGCCAGGAAATTGACAGAGGTGTATTCACGAGCGATAATATTTCAGAGTTGAGGACTCCAAGATAGAAGACAATAGAGATTGCTTTTCATGATTACAGCATCTATACCCCATTCAGGACAAGCCAGCCTTGACCTCGTGCACAATCTTCGGCGAATCATTTTTCCGGATGCTTGGCAACAAGGCTGCTCCTCACAAGGCTGCCAATGCTTTCTCAATTTTTGACATTTCTGGTCCCTCTCCACCACTAGGTACAAACATCTCAACTACACCAGCACTTACACCGCCAACACGATCACCGTTGCACCTCTGCGCCTTGTTCGATAGTGTCGCCTCACAATAGACAGTAATCTTCTACGACTGACACGGAGACTACCACAAATCTCGCGCTCCGTTGCGCACCCGGCGCAAAATGAAGCTCGTTAGGTTCGTCACGCCTGTTTTGTCGGACGACTTGTCTTTATGGCAGTCGCGTTTGCCTGCGTCGGCTTGGGCGTGGTCATAAAACAAAGGTGGTTACGTTGGTCGCTGACACTGGAGCCAGGTTCCTCATGAAATGCGCGAATGAGTCCGTCACGATAGAACTGAAGAACGGCACCATCGTGTCGGGCACAATCACCTCGGTGTCGCCGCAGATGAACACGGCCTTGCGGGCGGTCAAGATGACGACCAAGAACCGCGCAAATCCCTCGGCCCCCGGCGACACGGTCAGTCTCGACACCATCAACATCCGCGGCTCGACCATCAGATACTACATCCTGCCGGACTCGCTGCCCCTCGACACGCTCCTTATCGACGACCAGCCGAAGCCGAAGAACAAGGCGAGGAAAGAAGGCGACTCACGCGGCGGCCGGGGTCGGGGCGGCCCCAGAGGACGGGGAAGAGGCGGTGGGCGTGGACGGGGTAGAGGAAGAGGGTTTTAGGTCGGGTGCGCGGAATCCTGGGTCTGGGGTCCGCACATCTATGTTCATGCAGTCGAGAACCTGCATATCTGGGACTGCGTTCACGATCCGATCACGCCGTCTTGGTTTTGATGAGTTATGCCCTGCAAGGACCTCGTGTTGCGGCAGAGAGGAGGGTGAAATGTCCATATGCGACCCGCTCCCCCGACCAACCGGCATGTTTTTATGATGCAAAAAATCACTACGAGAGACACAGTGCGCTGTGGCGTCAATGGAAACTGCAACTTTGCAGTGACGCGCAGAAGGGAATTGTTCTAGGGTGGCTCTGTCGCGCGAGAGAGAGAGAGAGAGACGCTACAGCTTGGTCACCGAAAAGTGAAATTGAGGTGCAACGAATGCATCCAGGAAGAGTTTGGGATCTTCTCCATACCGCAGACACAGACACAGCAAGATGCAGAATTGATCCCGTCATGACAAGGCATTTCAGAACAGAACAGAACCAGAATGCTGTCTGTGCGATCAATCCCTTCCTATGCGCATTGTTCTTCATACTTGTTTATCGGTTTCCCAGCGCCCTTTCTATGGGGAGGCGGATACTGTGGTTACCCGTTCCTGGAAAGAACCGAGCTTGTTTGATGCGGCCCATTCCTGTACCGCTGACCTATTCGTCTGCAGACCTCATCTAACTTCAGATCCTGTACTTGGAGAGTACCGCTACAACGTGGCTTTCACCATGTCTACTTCTCGCTTTGTACTACTTCTTCCCAATCCTGTACTGCATAGTGCGATAGGCACGGTATAATGCATGGGTGATAACTACGTTGCTGGTTGCAATTTGATTTGATATGCACTCTTCTTGGCTCTTGAGTATTTTGAAAGATACTCTCTCGTATGCAGCAAATCCCATCCACGCAAGGGGTGCCTTGAACCGTGGCCTGCTGCCATAAGTACCTACGCACTCGGTACAGTATTCGGTCTAGGTACCTATGTAGCGTCTTACTGTAGGTACGACGTGGGGGTCCAAAAAGCTGACGAGGCTGAACACAACGTTCGCCAGCTGTTGCGGTCATCATGTGAACCGTACGAGGGTAAACCTCAGACCCCCAATCCAACATACCTGCGCCACTGCACGAGGTATCCAGCCACAAGTTCGACATTGACCGAGAAAAACAGTTCCCGGAAGCGAACCTCGTGTAAGATTACCAACACCCTCCTCCTCTGCGCGAGATGTGTACACGGTACTCGGAAACCTTTCAGGCGAGCAGTCTCTGACAACTACTTCGGCCACTGGGTTCAAGACTATCTTGGCTCGTATTACACGGCACGGCAGCGATACGACAGGGAATGTTCAGCTGCCAATGTCCCATAGCCCCGCTCCCCAGCGTTCGGGGTGTGCTTGGTTGCTGACAAGACACGACCATGTGTACCTTTGTGGGTATCTGCTTGGGTGGTGTTGTATATATCACCATGGTGACCCCGGAATATCTTCATAGGTCAGAGAATAAGTCGAGATCGAGCCCACGCAAAAGGCAGCAGGAACCATCCTTTCTGCCTACAGACAGACAGACAGGCAAGTCAACACTCCAGCGACAAAATGTCACTGGAAGTCCAGACTCCGTACGGCACCGCGCTGCCTCCGGCCCCAAGGCACGCCATCACAGTCCACCTCCCGCAGTGGCGATCGGTCGAGCGCTTCCGGGACCGGGACCCGGAGCTGTTCAGGTCGCTCCGGAGCATGTATCCGCGGTTTGTCCTGCACAGGGATGTCTTGGAGGTATGTATGTACTTGTATGTATTATAGGAGTGTTACACAGCTTGAGCCGTGCTGGGATGGGCGGACGAACTGATGTCTTTGCCGGATTGATATCCTCCTGAACGCCTCATTCCCCGCTCCCTCTCTCTCTTTCTCTTTTGACAAGCCTTAGTGTTTGCCGTTCTTTCCTTTGTGCGGGAGATGGCTAACACAACTAACAAATGGACAGCTTACCGCAAAGATCGTCGACTTCGCGGACATCGAGGCCCAAGGCTGCTTTCTATACCCTTCGTCACAGGCAGCGCGTGATTGCAAGGAATATGCGACTTCCCCCGACAGAGGACAGGGGTCAGTTCCCCGCGACGGCATCTCCATCCGCGTCTTCAGGACGCATTGTCCGGTGTACGCGGTCGTCTTCCCCGCCGAGTTCACGGGAACCGTGCACGGTTTCTGGGTCAATGCTGGCGTGGGCATCTCGTCTCGCTTGGCGGAGGATTGTCTCGAGCATATCAGCTCGTTGAGAGAAGAAGTCAGGGACCACGAAGAGGGTGTGACAACAACAATGACGACAGCTAAGTCTGACGGCCCTGCTCACCAACAGCTCAAGGAGAGGATAGCAGGCCTGCTCAATAGAGCCCCTGCGGACCCGCACCGCACGGCCCAAGTCTCGCCCAGCGACGTCTACCTGTTCTCGACCGGCATGGCCGCGATATACTGGGTCCACCGGTATCTGCTGAGCGCATACGCCTCCTCGCCGTCCGTGCTCTTCGGCTTCTCATTCCACTCGACCATCCACGTCCTCCAAGACTTTGGGCCCGGGGTGGAATTTTTTGGCCTCGGTTCGGAGCAGGACCTCGACGGACTTGAGAAATATCTCGCCGCTCAATCGGGCCGGGGGAACAAGGTACAGGCCATCTGGACCGAGTTCCCCTCGAATCCACTACTAAACACGCCGGACCTGCGCCGGCTCAGACATCTGGCCCACGAGCACGGCGCGCTTCTCGTCGTGGACGACACGGTCGGCGGCTTCTGCAACGTCGACGTCCTCGACGTCGCGGACATTGTCGTCACGTCCTTGACAAAGTCGTTCAGCGGGTACGCCGACGTCATGGGCGGGAGTGCCGTGCTCAGCCCGCTGTCTTCACGGTACGAGGAGCTCACGGCCCTGTTCGGCACGCAGCACCACGACGACCTGTACATCGGCGACGCCGAGGCGCTGGAGCGCAACAGTCGAGACTACCTCGAGCGCTGTGCCGTGTTGAACCGCAACGCCGAGAAACTGGTCGAGTATCTCCAAAGCAACACGAACAACAGCAGCAGCAGTAGCAGCAGCAGCATCACCCAAGTCTTCTACCCCACCGTCAACGACACGCTCCCCAACTACACGACACACCTGCGCCAGCCGAGCCCTGGGTTTCCCCAGCCGGGCTACGGATGCCTCCTGAGCGTGCAACTCCGCGACCTCGACGCCGCGATCGCATTCTACGACAACCTCCACGTGCACAAGGGACCGCATCTCGGCGCACATCTCACACTCGCGTTGCCGTATTCGCTCGGCGTCTATGGAAACGAGGCCGCCTGGGCGAGCAGGTACAATGTCAGGCAGGAGCAGGTGCGGATATCGGTGGCCCTCGAGGATACGGATGACTTGGTCGACAGGGTCAGAACGGCGGTGGAGGCTGCTACCCGGCGGACGGATCCGGTGACATAGCGAGGAGCTCGAAGTATGGGGAGGAACTGATTTCCGAAGGGTACGGTCAGAGGTTCTTGTGATTGTGAAATGAGATTGGATCTGCGGCTTGAATATACGAGGAGCACGCAGAGCCTCTGCTTGGGTTACCCTGCCTTTTGAGGCGGGTAGAGCTCGGTCCCGATCCCATCAGCGAACTGTCAATGCGAGATGCTGTTCGGGCATTTCGTCAGCGGCAGACAAAGAATTGAATTGTGATATTTTCTGTGCGATTCGGCAATGTCTCCCTCGCAGCGGTTCGCGGGCTGGAACAGCTTCAATCCATGGGCATTACATCCCTCGTCTCGAGAAGTCTTTTTCGTCTTCGTTCCGGTTCCTACCATGGTAGCAAGCTGTGGGTCCTGGTAAGTTTAAAACCTGGTCGAGTTTAAACAGTCACATCTAAACCCTTTGAACGGAACGAGAGATATATCAAAAGACCACAATTTCAGAAGTGGATATTTTTACATTGTTCGAAAAGCGCCGGATCCTCGCCCTTGACTGAAATTATGTGCTTGCTCGGCCTGAGAGGAAAGCCACGTAGTTCCCGCTCGAAAAATCAACAGGTGCAACTGAGGTGCATGGCACCTTGATCCATCTTCTTGCGTCCAGCAACATACCCGCTGAGATTTTTGTTTCCTTTTTTTTTTTGGTCTTCCCCTAGCCTCCTTCATTTCTTCGTCTGGTTCATTCGGTTTTCCAGTTCCGTCACATATGAATGGATTCGCTGCACGGCCGCTTGCAGTGCCTAAGGTCCAGGTGTCAGTATCCGGTACAAAAATCGGAGCGTCTTGAGAGCGGAGAAGACTGCGGTGTCATTTTTTTCGGCCCACCACTTGTTTCCAAATCGACGTCGCAAGGAGTTCGGTGTAGGGTGGTATGGGTCGTGAATCACGTACGTAGATATCCTCCGTCAATAGCTCATTGGAGACCTTGTATTCCTCGAGGATGTAGTAGTAGACGGACGCGCCAGCCAGAGTCGAACCCAGCAAGAAACCGAACAATCTAGAGTCGCGCGAAATATTAGCGGATCCGTCTCATATCCAGCCCTGAACTGCACACTTGTTATGCCGGCACCACCGGAGTTTTGTAGAAGCTCCCAGGGTGTCTTTTGTTCGTCAACGGCACGACCGGGGCAAGCTCACCCTCCTCTGAAAGCTCCCATGGGCTTTTTCACAGGTACCGCCGCACCGGCTTCTTGGAATCTTCGGCACGTCGACTGGAACGATCTCGATTGAAACTGCGGGAGAGCTCTGATTGTTCGAGACGCGAGGGAGAGGCGCGGGACAAGGACACGGGACGCCATAGCTTTCGGATTGAAATGTTGGCACCGATTTACAACAGAGGGCGCAGGCTTGTGAGTAAGTCGCGGTGGGAAGAGGACAGCGAGCTTTGCACAGTGAAGAGAAGGTGACGTCGGGCGGGATTCGCTTTGGAACGAGCAATAAACTCCGATGTACTCGGTACTCAGCGGCGAATCTTGACCTCTCCAAGATCCATTTCCGTTTCTAGACCTGAGCATCCCGCCATTTTACCATAGTCATGACTAAGCTATTCAGAGCTGTGGCTGAGCAGTGAGCCTACAAAAGGTTTTCCTATAAGTGCAATTGGGAGATTGCCCTGCGCGTTTTCACTTGACCCCCTTCTGAGCCGGTGGCTTGGATGAGGTTGAGTCTTTGACAGGAACTTCTTTGTCTAATCTCGGCGTAATGCGGGACTGAATCTTCCTACCGTTGTTGTGCGTCAAGAACCTTCGAGCCGTGTTGATTCTATCTACTACAGGTGCCCATATCACTACTGCTGAGAATGTGCGTAGGTCCAAAGTCCTCGTCACCTTCCGACGAGGTCCCGCTAAAGACCAATATTATCCTCCCCTCATAGTCACGAATGTTACGCAGTAGCGATGGCTGAAAGAAACCGTGCAATATCGTCCAGCTTTTCGAGTTCCTTGTACCAATGCCCTTCCTACTCAGCGCCGACGTATTCTCTCCACGTCACGTTTAATCCAATACCGCTCAAGACCACTTTCGTCTGACAGACGAGTGCCTGGGTAGCTATACCGTTCTGGACCCGCCCTCATAACCTTGAGTCTGGCCCAGGACAACTGGGCTGGGACAGACCTGACTCGAAGCTCTCATCCAGGCTTAGAACTGACCCTAGAACATCTGCCACCATAACCATAAGAGACGTGTCCCAACTGCACTGTCCTATGACTTCTGTCCTGCCTCGTATGTCGCAGAACTTCTCCACATTTGGGGGTGCATCCACCATAAGCCATAAGCTATGACCTTGGATGTGCCTGACTAACATCAGTGGCAGTACGAGATAAATACTCATCGCCCAAAAGCAGCAATCCGTCATACCAATGAATGCTACAAAGTCCAATGTACGCCATTCCTTCATTTCCCGGATGTCCTTGTCCCTGACCTCCTCGCCCTCTGTATGCAAGGAACCCGACACCCTCAACCCGACGCCGAACTGGTATCACTCAATCGACAAACAAATCGGCCAGCAGATCTTTTCTACATGCCGCAAGATCAGGCAGTTGGAGGCTGTATGTGTCCTCAAAAGCATGAATACTCAATTGCCGAAAGAACGGGCGCAGAATGGTGCTGGGGTCTTCGCTTGTCCGCGTCTTGTCCGTACAAAGCCATGGAATCCGGGCTCCGGTGCTTGATGCTGTGAGAAGCTCAGTCTCGGGGCCTCCTTTGCTCACCATCAGATCTGCGACTGCAGTTGACTTGAAGTCGTGTGGAGGATATACTGCATCCACCGTGTCCGTCACGAACAACCATTCGTGTAGTTGGAACTCCTCGGGTTTCAGGAGAAGAAGGAGATCTAATAATTTGGCCCCTTGCAGTTGTGTATAGCCCGTAAATACAGCCTCGCCCTCTTTCTGCATGCTTGAGAATAGTTCTCGAAGCTCCACGTCCACTATCGGCCACAGTGAGACTAGATGTACTTGAGTGAAAGCCAACGTTATGGCCCGAAGAACGAGATAGACATCTCCACGCGTACTCGACGAAGGAGACGAGGATGGTGTCGCTGTAAGAAGTTCCTCGAGTTTGTTGATGATGTGGCTAAGATCTGACACGAAAGCGTCGACTTCCGCAGCCAACAGGAGCAGGGCAATCCGCCGCAGATTAAGCTGAGTCTTCCTGTCCGCCTCCGTTCGCGCAGCCGTAGCACCAACACCAAACATCAACCCTGCCGTTGTTGGAGGTGTCAGACGGGACACAAAGTCGGTCATCAGCCCTTTGTCGGAGAGCCAAAGTTGGTTCAGTACGGGAAGCCATCCCGTTTCAGCTAACCATGGGGCTGACTGGAAGAATTTATTGTCGTTGATAGCGTCGTGGATATCTTTCTTCCAAACCTTGTTGTTGGGTTGGGATTTGGCCATGAGAAGCACAAGCTGCAGAATGTCCAAGTTCACCGTCTGCGGAAACTGCTTTGATCGTAGAGCAGGTCCGGTAACATAGGTGGCTACACCAGGGAGCGTACCATTCAACCTGTCTTGGTCTCCGAGTGCATTACTAACGATGGGCAAGGCTTCACACAAGACCTCAATGGCGTTCCCAGTGTGCAACGGGTTCTTCCGCCGCATGGCCCCCATTCCTTTTGAATCTTGCATGTCCGGCAGTGGCTGAGCAGTCGAGTCCAGTCCAGCAGGCCGTATCGTAAATATGGCTGTGAGGAGTCTCGCACACAGATCGCTCAGTTCGCGACGCATTTTCACAACTTCCCCAAAATTGGTGTTTTCCATTTTCTGGCAAAGAACAGCCACAAATTCCAGAAGCTTGAGCAGGATTTGTCGGTGTGGCATAGGATTGGCAAGAACTTCCCGCAGGAAGGCAGTGCAATCAGTCCAGATCTCTTCGAGCAGGTCATCTTCCAACACGCTCGTGTAAGCTATCAGGAACGCCATCAGCTCGGCTGCACTCACGTCCACTGACAAGCTGGATTTCTGAGACTGGTCCAGGGCTGATGGGTTCGTTCGGTTGTAGATTGCATTGAACGTGGCTGGCATCATAAATTTGGGTCGGGCTCCGTCCAGACTTTGCATCAGATTGAGAGTGATGTCTTGCTGAGCATCTCGACGAGCCGCCTCGGTCCACATGCCCATGAGTGTCTCCAGACATTCCTGTGGTTCAGCGTCGGCAAGATTCTCGAGGATCCTTCGGGTTCTAGTCCGCAGCCGGGTGGAAATATACGCAAAGGATTTGTTGTCGGGGCTGGAAGTGGATGGCCTTTTGAGCATTCTCCAGGCCCATATCTCACCGCATAATTTGATCGTGTCTTGCATACAGAGAATCACGGTCAACCGATGATTCGCAATGGATCGCGACTGGGACTTTTCTGAACTGTTCGGATTGGCCTCGACCCCCGAAGCCTGATCGACTAGGTGCGTATGCGCTCTTGCTAATATGTATTCAAGCCCAGCGAGCAAGTTATTGACCGATCTTTCTGGCTGCTTTGCCAACTTGGTGGGTGGGTCTCCATTGGCCTGGGTGGTGGTCCGCGGCTTTTCGTATAAATGTTGCATCAGCGCAAAATAGTCTTTGATACGTTCACAGAAACATGCTGTCAGCTTGAGCATGTTCGCAAACAGATTCTGGGTCGAGTACAAGGGAATTGTGTTGCACAGAAGAGTGATCCATTTGTCAATCGTTGAATCAATAGCTTGTGATGAGATGCCAGAAATCAAGATCGATATGAGTTCGCTGGGCGGATTGCCAAAGTTCGGTTTTGCGAATATGATCCGCAACAGTTCCAGGATTTCTTCCTGGGAAGGGCTATCCTGGGGTACATCGGATAGTTGCTTCAATAGCAAACTTAGTAGATCATGGTGTTGTTGAACGTCCGTTTCTTCAATGATCAATCTCAAAATTGACAACGTCGTCGCAAATATTTCTTCTCCTTTCTGTCCGTCGGCGATGTGCTCAATGCACAAGTCGAGCACCACTTCCGAAAACCCCTCGCGTCCGAAGAGCTCGTTGCGTTGCACATTGGACTGCCGCGCGAGGGTCAAAACCTTTCGAAGCCTGTGCAAGCCGAGCAATGACAGTTGATCATTTACCGGATTAGTAGACTCGGCATAGATGATTTTGAAAACAGGTCGAATGGAGGGTAGATTATTTACCCAGTTCCGTCGTCTGTCGTCTGGCACTGAGGGGTCGAGCTCATCAATTATGCTCAAGATTGGCTGTCGCAGCAGAGCCCAAGGCACTTCGTCCTCGTTACCGCCATGCTTAGAAGTAAACAGCTCGACGTTGACCTCTCCAAAGCGAGTATGCGTCCACAGAGTCGAGAACCGGGCCAGTTGATCTTCGAGACAGGATCGCTCCTTGTCTTGTCTGCACATTAAATCCGCTATCTTACTGTCGACGAGAAGGAGTTGTTGTGATATCATGCGCAGGTTCCAAATCTGTTCCACAGCTTCAACGTGAAATTGTGGAGTAGTGGGTAACAGAACTTCCCAAAGTTGCGTGATCAGCTCTGGGACCAGTCGGAGAAGGTAGTGTTCTGTGAGGAGGGTCCTGCCAGTGTCGAATGCATGTAAACTATCCACGATCCTCGCAATTGTTCGAACAGTCTCATATCTAGCATTGACGTCTGCTGCCGTAATCTTCAGTAAATCATATAGTCGATCTCCAAGTGCTATTTCACATAGTGGCTGGAAGTTACTGGTTCTAGCTATGGCCGTGACGAGACTGTTGGTGAGAGATCCGAGCGCTGTCTTGCTGGATGGGTCCTTCACGCAATCCAGAATGATGAGGGCAATGTTTCTCAGCAGAATCTGACTGGCGGCAGGTGGAGGGATCAAGTCGAAAATGGCCCTTTTCACGTACGACGAGTCTTTGTAAAGTGTTTTCAACTTCGGCAGCCAACCTTCCTGCGGCATTTGACCAAAGGCTTCGGAAGAAATGCCTCCCTGATGAGACGGCAATAAGCCAAGGAGAGCCTCCATAAGTCTTGCCAATCTGTCCTGATACGAATGATCTCGACCATTCAGTTCGTGGCGTTCAGGTTTCATGCTTTCAAGAAGCATTTCCGAAATTGCTAAGCACAGCATGGGTAAGTGGATGGTCGTCATTTCCTCCTCTTGCAGATTGAAGTTTGAGAAGATAAATTCAATAAGATCCAAATCCCCCTGTACAAGCAGGTCAAAGAGTTGATTGGTGATTAATTGGGGCTCTATTGCGTCAAAGAAAACATTGGCACTTCGGAACACCTCATCGAATGACGACTGTGAAGGAGCGGCCGTTTGATACTTTTGTAGATCCTGCATTGCTGGAACGAATAACT